CCATTTGAAGCTATTTTATAAACCAAACCAAATGCGTGAAACTCGCATCACTTGATCGATGACATTCCTTTTTTTTTAACTTTTTTCAAAATTTTTTCCTCTCTGTTTTTTTTTATTGTTATATATATTACTTATGCTACTTACACTATATACAGCTTCATTATCCTCGTAAGTGATGATTGTTCTGAGGTACACCTTCTCACACTGTGTTTGTTACTTGCCTGTAGGCTTTCGCTGTTATTTCTTGTTCGTATTATTGGAGCATCCAGGAAGTCTCTTTCCCTATCCTTTTCACGCTCTTTTTAATGTGTTGGTTTTTCTTAACACTTTCTTTTTCGCGGCGTTTTTTCTTTATATTTCTTAACGGCACTTTAAGACCTTCACGAATCGAACAAGCTGTTTTTAAGCTCGTGCGCCAATTATTGCCGGTTATATTGAAACGGCTAAAAAAGTTTGTATTTTTGATCAAGATGACCTTTAGTGTTAATTGTTCTGCTAAAAACTAAATTACAATTTCAATTATCAATTATTTATAACTTAAAAATTACTTATGCTAGCACTATTGATTTATTTATTTGCTAATTGCTTGGAAATTGTTGCAATGGTTGCATTATTGTTGGTCAGTATTAATTCCTGGCTGTAGTTTATACTGCGCGTGACGGATGTTGATTGGTATATTGTTTATCCAGCATTATTCTGTTTATCGCAATTAACTTTAATGTTGCTAACTTATATGAAACCCCTATATATTTTTGACTACAACAAAATCTATTAAGTCTGGAATTTTTTTTTTTTCTATCACTGATCCAGTATGTCGGCTTACCAGGAGATATTATATCTAGCTTATTATTTATTATTAATAAGTATTTATTATTAATAGCTGTCGTCTTTCGGAATAATAATCCGTAAGCCCCAGTTCGTGTGTTTTGCTTTGTAATCTCCACCTGCTAGAAATCTTTGACGTAGTATTTCAAAAGAGTCTTTAAATTCGCTAGCTGTGATTTTACAAACGAGGAGGGCAGTATATAGACGTAAGATTTAAGTCATAACCCCGATTTTTAGTGGTATTGTTGTAGCTTGTAACGGTGGTGTAGCATGAAATTCTAGAGCATAGTGGTTTGAACGTGTTCAAACCAACACTGCCGTGCCACCATGCGCTTTTCCATCCGGATGATTTGTAACATTAATAAATCCCGGTATATTGAAATTATTTTTATTGGTCAGATGAGTTTCTAATATAAGCATTACATCTACATATATTTTTTTCAAACATAAATCTAAAAAATCTCACATTTGTGTTGGTCAACACCGTTAGCATTCCATATACAAATACTTAGTAAGCTCATTGTTTACTTAATAAATTTTGCTGCATTTGATTTTGTGATTTTACTAAATCTTGGATCATGTTTTGATGGTAGACATAAATTGTGTCATACATTGTGTAAGATTTATAATCAAAGTTTTAATACCTCCATTTGGAGGATTTTGCGGCAGTTGCAATTGTAAAGTGTTTGCTTAGCTTCCTTGCATGTTGTTACTATTAGAAGTAATAAGGTTTGAACTTCTTTCTGGGGTTGCTATAATTTTATTGCGGGGTATTTGTAACATTTGGTTCGACAACTTCGATTTAAAATATTTATATACAGGACAACCGCTTTAGTTAACAATGAGATTTCTCCCCAATTCCTGCATTTTTTTATTTAATTTTTCTTTCCTAAGGGTGGATTTAGAAGTGGGATATAAATCACCAAAAACCACACAAACACTGCGTACAATGCAATATGGTTTACTATGCTCATATTCTTGGCAGTTAGTATATTTTAACCGATCGTTTCTTTTATGTGGTTCTTCAACAGTTACTCTACGATGCAGCAAATATTTCAGATAATATATGCGATCGGTTTTATTTTGTTTCTATTAAATATATTTACAACAGTTTTAATACCAAAGCGCATTCTCCCAATGCATGCTTCTTTGACTTCACTAGAGTCTTCGGCGGACAAGAGTATCACTACTACGCTCGCGCAAATACGTTTTATTTTTATTTGATGTGCCGCCTTGAAATTTTTTAGGAATGACCGCAGACAATGCTAGTTTGTACAGACGGGTCTTTTTTTATTGGTACATTCTCACCTTGCGTTATGATTTTCTTCCATTTTACCAGCACTAGCTGGTACTGTAGACTGGTTGCTGCCAGCGCATTTGTTGTTGCTGACTTAGTCCTTTGCTTCGTTTCCTTTTCAGCTCATCGCCGCCATTACTCATCATCGCTGTTATTTTTATTGCCAGTAGTTGTTATTGCCGTTGGATCGACAAAGCTGAAGCTGGCATTTAAGGAATACCTACTGCTAGTGAGGCTACAAAGCACTCATTATGATTTGTGTGATTTTTTTTTTGTTTTTTTGTGTGCACTGTTTTTTATATGCTTTGTTTATTTACATGTTAATAAATGGTTTTTTTTTTTTTTTTTTTTTTTTTTTTTTTTTTTTTTTTTTATATTTTTTTTTTTTTTTTTTTTTTTTTTAACATACGTCCGTAGACTTTGAACACTCTATCTTATAGAGACTTATCATCTGATCATTCTCCTGTACAAATAAAGTTATACGAACAGCTTTTGATATTTGAGCGACATCAATATTGATTTCAAAATAAATATAGGAAGAGGCGTTGATGATAGTACAAGAGAAGTTAATCATCTGATAACTAATGCTAACTACATAACACCAAAAAGGAGCAATAAACCTGTTGATTTTATAAAGATCTCCAATAATGAAATTCAGAAACTTTTAAATGAGAAAAGCCGAGCTGGACGTGATTGGCCATTAAGTCGCTTCAACTCTGCTTCAACTGAAATCTGCTGTACGAAAGTTAAAAAAAAAAGCTTAAACGCGAGGAAGAACACAACACTGAAAATTATATAAAGGTACTGTGTTCAAATTCTCCCCTTGGAAAGCAAAAAAGCCTCTAAGACAATGTAATAGTAATTGAGCACATAATGATGAGGAAAAGGCTTTGCAAATCACCTAGAAAAGGTATTTCAACCTAATTGCTCATAGAAAAACTAAGACAACGCTTGCGTCTATTAGGAATTCTACCTCTGAAGATGTTGTTCAATAATAAAGAAAATTTTTACTTCCTTTACCTTTAAAAAGCCTAAATTGTCAGTTTTTTTTTTTTGTAGGATTGTCAACACATTAGTACATAAAAATTTAAAGCTTGCATTAATTTTTGAACATCCTTTTTTATTCAATATCAAAATTAAATTATTAATGTCATAAACGAAACTGAAGTAAGTGAAAGTATTGTTATACTTATGAAGTTAGTTAGCCGATTTTAATGTATATTTGTTTTTGTAGAATTTGCCAGAATCAATTTCTTTGAGAAATTGGATATGCAACAAATCTCAATGGAAAAGCACGATCCGCTGCAGATTAGCTGTATAAATACAATTGCAGTATTTTAAAACTTATGTACATATGTATGTATATCCTTTAGCGAATTCGCCATTAAATAAACTTGAAATCAATAAATAGATTGTGATCTCTAAAATAAGCCTTTCTTTAAAATGAGCTTTAAAGTTTCAGATGTTTGAACTTTAATTTTGCTGAAATGATGAAATTTATAAAATTTTCTAATTTTCAGACGTAATTATTGTTGGAGGCAACTTTTATGGTTTTATTTCTTCTTGAAAACTAGACACTCTTTATATGTTCATGCAATAGAAAAAGTTGGTGACAATGCAAAATGTCATATTAGAATTAATTAAAGTTCAGAAAAAGATAGTGTGAATTCACTGAAATAGCAATAAAAAAAATGTAAAGGAATACGCCCTCGTAGCCTACCTTGACATAGGCTTTCTATGTACTTTCAGATTAAGGGCACTTGAGGATCTGGATACATCCCCATCTCTTGCGAAATTGATTGAACAGCTGCTACGCTGGCATTTCAACATTGTGTATGTAAGGAAACTATTTAATTTTATACCTGATTTGAGAAATTTATAACTGTAGACTATAATTTTATTTTTAATACATATTTCAACATCTATTTTACAGTACAAAATGACGTTGTTTATGTTGAGAAGTGCTAAGCCGTTAAATCTTTTATTTAGCGTCGTTGTTCTGAGCCAATTCTTGATTCGGCGCAAAGAAGAACATGTTCGTTCAGCGCTAGCATTTGTGGCTGGCAAAGTGCAAAGTACGCGATAAATCAAATTTGCAGGAATGAGAATTAGTATAATCATGACAATTTAACAGGAAGGGCGTCAACTGCCTCGAAAAGTGAACCGATATTTAAATTTATGCCACGAAATTCCCTACTACTCTTAAATATAGATATGTATATAGAACTTACCCTAAGGTAAAAAGTAAAAATTCTTGTTGAACAGCCTCTAACTTGTCAGAAGGGATTTGGTAACTAAGGTTTTCTACCACAGAGCCATATTCTAATATAGATCTAACCCAATTTGTCAAAAGAGTGTTATTAACATTCGTATCTCTGAATTTAATCAGCGTTTAACAAAATCAAAAACTCCTTTTACTATCAAAATCAATGGTATCAATATGAAGACTAAAATTAAACTCTTATAGACCAGCAACACCTAAATCAAAAAAGTTAAAAACTTTCTCTCGTCTATGGCTTATAAAAACTCAGCCGAAATAACGAAAGTCATTATATTTTCTGATATCTCTACCACGGCTTAAGGGCCTGTTTTTAAAAGCCAGATAAACATAAATCACCTTAACTGTGACTGCGGAACTTTTGATTGGTTATTCAGCCTGATTTTACTTTACCAAGTAGCGGAAAGCAGAAACCAGAACAAATGTCGAACTTAATATGTAAATATGTATGTGTTAATTACTGGTTTTTCGAGTTCATAATATTATTAGAGAGTGAACAGTATTATTTAGTTATAAGTAGGTGTCATTTTCATGATAGTTGTATTAATTTTAAATCTTGACAATATATTTTAGTTTCTAACGGAGATATATTAAAAATGAATGATTACGAAGTGAGTAGAAATATGTTTCAACACAATAATTTTAATAATAAAATATCATAAATGTTCGGATTTTATATCAAGTGTATGCACGATTTACTTTATTGAGGTTGACCATTGGAGCTAAAAGCTAGGTATATGTATTCTAACAGAATCGTGGAAAATTAATTATTTCTTTTTTTTTTAGTAAAAAGAAGAGATTGCTAACTCTTTTATACTACTAATACTTTGGAGTATGCCGAAAAGACAGCCATAAAGCTTAGCATATTTCGATTTTATTGATGGAATTAAAGACGTGAGAAATATTTCAAAGTGTCTGCAAAACATTGTTATAAAAAATTTTGCACAGCAAATGTATATGCTCAACGTTATTTGATTAGGACCTGAGTCAAGTTTTGAAAGTAAACTAATGTATGCTTATAACAAAAATTCCATTAAGCTTCAACAAGACATTAATGTTGTGCAAGTTTTAACCAATAATATCCTCCTCTTGTCCTTCTAAAGAACTAAAATTTAAATCTACTTGAACATTAAAATGTTTAATTTAGCATGACATTCTTCTATTGCAAAGCTGTATGATTGTATATCAGCTCACTTCTTAAACGTGGATAGAATACCTCTGTTGTTAATGATATAAGGTGTGAAATTTCCGTAAAAATTAAAATTAACAAGTTAGATATTAGTAAATAAAATGTTGCTTATGAAAAAGAACTAACTAAACACTAACTTAAATCTGATTTCAGTTTCTTTTTAATCAAAGCCTATGAGATCTTTCTTACTTCCTCTTCTTACATGAGAAATTCTTTTTCTCGCTTCAAATCCTTTAGTTTCTGTTGTAAATTAATATAATTAATTTTAAATCTTAAGCTTTAAAAACACAAGGAAAAAAGAAATTTGTCATTTGAACCACTCGTCGCGGCACTCGTTAACGAGCGAAATTCATGTATTTTTTTTTTTGTTTCTGGATCGTTTTAGTCACTATCGCATACGCACTTTCGAAATTTCACTCGTTAGCTATTTGAGAAACGATATAGTACAAATAAAAAAAATTTAATATATGTATATCAGTTAAAAATAATCGAAGCATAATGTAAGTTATTTTTCTTTTATTGAGTTTATTTAACTTGTATTATAATTTTAACCAATTATTTAATGATAAATGTAAACCAAATAAATATGCGTATTTGATGAGTGATTTTATGTCACAGCATTAAGACTTGGCAAAAAATATTTTGCCTAATTGTGGGCAAAGCAAAGTTGCAGCAAATAAGCTATGGGCCACCGATGAAAAATGTTAAATCTTGGCGAAAAGTAACATCAATAAATAATACTAATTAAATAAATAAAATAATAGATGATTAAAATAATAATAAAATACAAAAATAGGTATAGGTAGCAGAAGATCAACTCCTCCAAGCTATGGGAATAGATGTTGCAGTAGAAAGGTTGACAATAGTTAAATCTTTTGAAAATGTAGTGCCCGTAGAAGGTTTAAATGAGTTGGTAGAAATTATTATTAATAGAAGAAGAAGAAGAAGCTCACTGTCAAAAGCGAAACTCTTTCTCTTTTAAAATCCAATTTACGCGCATATGACACAACACAAGCCCAAATCAATAAAATATTGAGAAACTAATTACTCTTAAGGAGAGATCTCTCCAAATAAAAGAATAGATATTTACAGCAGATATGATAATAAAAACTTTGGAGTTGCAAATTAAAACTTGTGAGCTTGATATTTTAAAGAGAAAAGTTCAGAAATAAACCCTAATATATATTGATTCCAAGTTCCTGTTTTTATTGAAAATTTATTTATTAAAACAATCTATGAATTCAAATGTTTTTGGAACGTTTATCAATTATTATCTAAAGACAACATAATATTATCTCTAATTTGATGACCAATTTTAGTTAATTGAGTCTCATTTTCCGTATCTATTTCTGTATCATGTTTTTCATTCACAAAATATCTGCAATATTTTTTTTTTTTTTTATAGTAGGAGGAAGCATCGAAAGCCGGAGTACGGGACTTTAATCCGCTAAACCTAACCTACTCCCACCTCATGTCTCTCCCACGGGACCACTGGACAAAGTATTACTTCAKGGGAGAGAAGAAGACGTTTAAGTCTCCTCTATTTCACGGACTGATTGACGCCTAATCTGTTCTAAATGTATCAATTTTGTCATAATTACATTTGCCGCTTCGCTGACAGCTTTCCACTTTACAGAGGACTCGCACATAAGTGCTGTCAAATTTTCCACGGTAATACTACCTCCAAGGATGGTTTTCAGCTTTTCCCTTATACCTGAAAACCGAGGGCAATAAAAGAACACGTGTTCAGAGTCTTCTATACACTCTGTACACGTAGGACAGTGTTGACTAAAGTAATGACGATACTTGAATAGGTAGCTTCTGAAGCAACCATGACCACTGAGTATTTGGGTAAGGTGGAAATCCAGGTCTCCATCTTGTCTACCTATCCACAAATGTATGTCCGAAATCAGTCGGTAGGTCCACCGTCCTTTGCATGAAGTTTGCCACCGTTGCTGCCACATTGCAAATCTTTTTCTTCTCTTTGTATGTTCGAGCGAATTCGTCTCCCTGGATGTCAATCGGCGCCATACTGGCTAATACCTCAGCAGCGTCACTTGAAATGGTTCGGAAAGCACTTAACACACGTATTGCTGAAAGCCTATGTACTGTGTTAATTGATCTAGCATATGATTTTGTTTCTAGCGCCTGTATCCCTATTGGAGCCGCATACAGAATCACTGAGCTTATTGCTTTGGCTATTAAACATCGTCGGCTGGAACGCATACAGCCTTTATTTGCCATCATTCGAGATAACGCATTATATATTTTATTTGCTTTACTTGTCGCATTTTCCAAGTGGTCCTTGAACTTTAATCTTGAGTCTACTGTTACCTCAAGATACTTCAGCTGCGGCTGTGAAGTAATCTCACATTCTCCTACGGTCAGTGATATTTTATCCTCAATTTTCCTTGAGCTTATGAGCAGGACTTCTGTCTTCTGCTCAGCCAGCTCTAGACTCATGTTGTTAAACCATCGGCGCAGACCATTTATGCTGTCATTGCATTTGATCCGAAGGTCATTCAGATGTTTAGCTACAGCTACCACTATGAGATCATCCGCATAAGCGATTGTTTTCACATTTTTTGGTCGCGGTATTCTTAACACCCCGTCGTACATAAGATTCCATAGCAGCGGGCCTAAAACCGAGCCTTGCGATACTTCACTGGAGATAGTGTAGCTCTGAGTGCCCTCGTACGTATCGTATARCAATCTCCTATTTTGAAAATAACTCATTATAATATTTATCAGATAATGAGGAGCGTGTATATCGTGTGGRGCTTTTATTATATTTGCCCACTTTGCGGAGTTGAACGCATTCTTCACATCCAGAGTTATTAGCGCGCAGTAYTTTTTCCTACCACCTTTCCATCTTTTTCCACTTATTGCATATTTTGCAGTATCAACTACTTCTCTTAGTGCGTCAATAGTGGACCTCTTTTTAATAAAACCGTTTTGTCTCTCTGATAATCCGCCGGCTTTTTGGATTGCTAACTCCAAGCGGTTTCTTACAATGCTTTCATAAACTTTCCCAATTGTGTCGAGCATGCAAAGAGGTYGATAAGATGAAGGTTCTTCTGGTGGCTTATTTGGCTTTGGTAGTAGAACCAGACGCTCTATCTTCCACGGATCGGGGAATACCTCTTCTAATATACACGCATTGTACATGTTAACAAATACTCTGGGCCTTAGAGTTATGGCTTCTTTAAGGGCTCTATTTGGTGTACCATCTATTCCTGGCGCTTTGGAGTTTTTGAKTTTTTTCACAATAGCCAATAGTTCGTCTTCAGTGACTAATAGGGGTGGCTCCGTAGCTTCGTTTCGTTTAATATAGGAAATGGAGGCATGTGTCGGGAATAACGCTTCGACAACCCTTTTCATAAATAATGCGTTCTTGGGTTGCTGCGACTTRTTTTTGAATTTCGACATACAAATTTTGTATGCCGTTCCCCAGGGGTTTATGTTCGCTTCTTCATAGAGCTTTTCGAAACAGGATCACTTACTACTGATAATGGCTGACTTCAGGAGCTTTTTTTGGCATTTAAATGCTTCTCTGAGGCTGATTTCGTTATCACCTCCCTGGTTACGCTGTAGGCGGCGTCTAG